GGGAATTTAGATATACATAGCTAAATACTGACATGTGATTTTTGTGCAGATTTTTAAAAATCAAAGCTTATTGTGAGCATGGGATGGACTATCACTGTACTTGGGTGAAAGTGAGCTGGGCAGGAAACAGACAACTGTGGTGGAAGATCAGTTTGTTTGCAGCCCTTTCTTCAAAAAATGTAGGTTGCCAAAGTCCTGAACACTAGAATTGGTACCCCAGCCACCAGCAGGCATACACAAAACGGCAGATTTCACCAGGCCCTCTGACAGCCACTGGTTAGAGCACTGGACTGGGAGCAGGTTAGAGCACCTTGGGTGAAGTTGGGCCAGCTAATGATCCTCAGCCCAGCTTACCTCACAGAGTTGTTGTGAGGATGAAATGAGGTGAAGAATCAGGCGTGTTGCCTTCAGCTTTCTGGAGGAAAAGGCAGGATATAAATGGGACATTTTTGGGAAGTTAGTCAAAGAGGGATCAGCCCTCTCCCTGTGGATCCTCTTACTGTCCCACCTCATGGTCCTACACCCCTGGTGGTGGTGATCTCTTGTGGTGTTCCTATCCATGCAATAGTCAGGATGAGGTGAAAAATATCCTTACATGGGTATTTAACCTTGAATATAGCCAACTGCAGGCTTTCAAATTATACCGAAAACATTTTCACCCCCTTTGTAATCACTTACGTCTCCACCTCCTTCTGGAATCACAAACTGACCTGTGATCACCAGAAAGGATAAGTTACCCAAACACCTCTGTTCCCTCGGTGCGTAAAGATATGCAGGGCAACCACAACAGCACTGAACAAATCATAGCCTTAATCCTGCAAACGAGCCATTAATCAAAACGTCTGGTTAACCTACTGCAGAAAGCCCTTTCTTTGAACCCCAATAATCTTGCACAATGACACAAAAATTTGTTTCACTGCGCTGCTGCTGTCCACGGCAGCTTAGGAGTGGAAACTGTGCTTTGGAATGGATTTTCAGTTTCTGGCATGGGGACGTCTGCTGCGAGTCACACAGCCTCCAGTCTCATTTGTAACGGATCAGATTTCATTTTGACCTACTTTACAATAATCTGAAAGCTTCATAGAAACATTTTCTGTGGCTAAGGGGTGGTCTTTGCCCTGCTCTTCCAGCTGACCCTTTTCCTTGCTACTTTCGCATGCTTTCCCAAAACTACTTCTCACTGCTTAGACTCTCCCAGCCCACCTTCCTGATTGTAAAATTGGCTGTTACCTGAAGTACACAATTCCTTATTGTGACTGAAAACAACAGTTGCTGTCAGAGTAATTCTCCAGGAAACTGGTGCATGTAATTATTTTTTTCTGCCCATGGGGGATTTCTATGGTATTATTCTTTAGTCATGCTTTTTCCCCATCATTGCATCCATCCTGAAGTTGAATATCCTTCACTAAAATGTCCTCAATCCAGCAAGGGAATTCCATGTTTGTAGTTCAGCCTTCCC